TATATATATATATATATATATAACAGTCCCTCGTGCTTTGCTGTAAATTTCTGTAACTTGTTGATATTTATACCTCAGAATTATTTCCAGTGTTATCTGTTGACACACACACAAGGGACTGAATACAAATATCTTTACCAAATCAAAAATAAAATTTAAGTGATACAAACCAGTCTTGTGGATTTTTAAATTCTGCTAATTTACATTTGTAAGTTTGGGTATCGAACGTGTTAATAACTAATGCCACCAAAGTGTTGCGATTTTCCTCTGTCATCTGGGTGAAGAGTTCTTGGGTACATTATGATTACATACACTTTAAGTATTGAACTTAATATGAAAACTCTAATGTTAATAATACCAAAAACAAATTATTTTGTACATAGGTACAAGCTATTGATTTGGATATGGACTTAAATGGGTACATACATTATGAGCTAGTGAAAGGAGAGAAGGACCTGTTTAGTATCGATAGTCGAACAGGAGAAGTTCGGCTACGCCATTACCTTAAACCTCACATAACTGCTTATGATGTTGTCGTAGCAGCATATGATAATGGTAAGCAATACTTCTGCCTTTCAGTGATGTTAGAACATTGATATTTCTATTTTTTTTAATTATGAAGTAAACATGTTAATGACACGATTAGTTTTAATTATGATGAACAAAGTCTGTCATTTTACTTTTAGTAATCTTTGATGATAATTAGTTTATAATAATACATATCATTATTGATCAACTTCTATGTGTACATATCTATGAATTTGAAACATAATAACCAGGTTTTGATGGAACCTTGCATGTCATATTTAGAATATTTTATCCTCAAACATCTTTAACAGTAGAAATACCTCAGGTTATCAGCCATAAATTGATTCTCTCTCTAAGAGCTTTAACATGATTTTTCACTGCATTCGTAATACTTTCAGGTAATTGCAAAATCTAAAGTTTTGCTTTAACAAATAATTTTTTATTGCACTTTGTTTAACTGTTTAAGTACATTTGTACTGGTATAATCCATTTTTTTATGATTGACACGTGAAATGACCTTTTCTTATCACAGTTTGAACTTAAATTTGTGTTCATAATTTATCATTCAGGGAAGCCCTCATTACGTAGTGAAGTAGCTGTACCCATAAAGGTGATCAACAGGAACATGCCGACATTTGAAAAACAGTTTTACAGAGTTTTAGTACCAGAAAATATACGTCCTAAATCACCTGTTCTCTCAATCACGGCTGAAAGTCCACAAGGACGCCAACTGATCTACAGTATTGTTAAAGGAAATGATGATGAAGAATTTGGAGTTGATTTCAACACTGGTATATACTTATATATATATATATATGTGCCTGTCATTGTTAAATGGTTTTTAATTAATTGAGACAATTTACTTAAACTGATCTCAGTTCATTTATATTATTCATACAGAAATAGGTTTTAATTGAAACACTTCAGAGTCATCCTTAAATTCAAGCAAGTGATTGGTACTTCCTTAACATTGAGAAGTTAAAAATGACATTTAAAGTTAAAATCTCTTCTTTATTTTTATCTTTTGCAAAGGTACAACAAAATGTGTGTAATGTTTGGTCTCTTCAAATAACAGTTAGGCACCTAATTTGATACTTAATAGTAGGGATTGTGATGAAACGAAATGGAGGCCATAAAAATCGCCCGTTTAAAACCATCTTTAAAATGTCTGAATATTAACAATGACTATTTCACAGTATTGGCTGAGCAATACTAAAGCTTATTGTACTTATAAAGTTTATTAAATCACTATATATGTGTTTATGGATTGAATCCAAATTTTCGTCTAAGTAAGTAACTTTTCCAGACAAGTGGGCAGAAAAAATGACAAACCTTATCGTTCTAATTATTTTACAGAACTCTTCTGTCTGGGGTCCCAATGATTCCTTTCTTGTACCAAAAAGGATACTAGTATATATATATATATATATACTGGATGATGTGCTACTTTGCATATAATTAAATTTGAGGGTATGTTGGTAGAGATCCTGATGGATAATAAAATTTAAACAAGTATATGTGTGCCCCCATGCTTGGTATTGCTGGTGCACAAAAATATAGTTAATAAAAAGGAAAACAAACAAGTGTAATAAGAAGTGTTTAAATTTTATAAAGACAAGTATGGATCGATATATACGTAACCTAGCTAGCTGTAGTAATATAGAAAGTTCTAATGTTACAAAAAGTATTGAAACAAGAAAGTCAAAACTACAAAAGCTGTTACTTAACCTATTGACCATGGCTGCTCTAACATGCACAGAATTTTTGCAAGCTGTACACCATGTAAGGAACACTCACATTCAACTGCCAGAAGTGGACTGTACTCTATACAGTGAACCAGCAGCCAATTGGAAAGAATTTTAAGAAACTCAATTTGTGTAGTTTTGACTTTCTTGTTTCAGTACTTTTTATAACATTAAAACTTTCTATATTACTATAGCTGGCTACGTTATGTATATATCAAATCCCATTTGCCTTTATAAAATTTAAATGTTTTTTATTATACTTATTTTAAAAAAGAAATTACTTGGGGAGAGAAGAGAATCCCCATCCTATCCAACCTATTAGTGACATTAGTGGACTTTTGATCTGATTACCCACTGTTAACTGGGGCTTGTGTTTGCTAGTATTGTTACTGAAACAGTTCTATCTCAATATGTAACTTTACACACTTAGTTGTTTAAACAGAAATTGTATATTAGTAGTATTAAGCAGAATTATATTAAATTAAGCGAAATTACTGGCTGAAATAAATCTTGCACTTGTAAAACAAAATCGCAAAAATTGAGGTCACAGTTTTGAGAAATTTTCTTAGGCTTAGATGTAAGCTATATATATATGTATTTTATAGTGAATACCAAAGACAAGGATTAACAACTTTTTAACTCTTCGTACTTTAGGGCGTGTAGTTTCTGTTTATTATCCTAAATTATATTATTTTTACTTCGAACTATAATATTTAGTTCTGTAAGGGTGACATTTCATCAGTTTTAAATACTAACTAACAACGTTTGTTGTTGTTTTAATAATCAAGTATCCAATTTTGAAATATTTAAAAAATGCTGCATAAATTTTATGTATTCAAAATTGTAATGTCTCTCTTTAAGTTGAGCAATCTTTCAGAATACGTGTTAGAAATTACTTTCCTAAGTTTTATTAGTAAAATTAGTATAACCTACATCTAAACGTGTTTAACATTTAGCTTGTAATACTGTATATGTTTTTGTCATACATCATTTAAATATTGTTAATAATTTTAAAACAATTTTTATGTAGATAAAATCATTATTTTGTTTCAGTTAAAGGTAAGAGCTTGTTAACTTGTCTTATCATCTTTCAAGAAAGTTTGGTAAATATACAACAAAGTATATAGGTACATCCCACATTAATGTCAGACATTCTTTTTTATTTTCTATGTGAATTTTATGTTTACTTATACATCTTTCTTTAAATCTGTTTTTAATTTTTTCTTCTAAGGATAAAATGTAACAATTTCTTTCACAGCATTAATATTTTAATACAAAACACTAACATCACCATAAAGTTTAGATTTAGTGGGTCAGCTGTTATAAAACTGGTAAAATTCTATTTAAAAAAAATTGAATATATTCTTGATTCATTATAATTCATCATGAAAGGTGCAATAAATTTTCCTCCTTGAAATGACCTCTGTAAATTGAAACCACATTTCCATGTAACACTTCGAGGTGGTAATATGCTTGAATGTGTAGCACTTCAAGACGATACAGGGTGGTAATATGCTTGAATGTGTAACACTTCAAGATGGTAAAGGGTGGTAATATGCTTGAATGTGTAGCACTTCAAGACAGTAAAGGGTGGTAATATGCTTGAATATGTAGCCCTTCAAGATGGTAAAGACTCTCTTTATATGCTTGAATGTGTAACACTTCAAGATGGTAAAGACTTTATATGCTTGAATGTGTAACACTTCAAGATGGTAAAGACTTTATATGCTTGAATGTGTAACACTTCAAGATGGTAAAGAGTTACACATTCAAGCATATAAAGACTTCAAGATGCTTGAATGTGTAACACTTCAAGATGGTAAAGGGTGGTAATATGCTTGAATGTGTAACACTTCAAGATGGTAAAGGGTGGTAATATGCTTGAATGTGTAACACTTCAAGATGGTAAAGGATGTTTTGTTACTTATATTTGTCCCACAACAAAATCATGAAATTTTTGTCTGATTTTTTATTTTATCTGTATCTTCATTCATTCATCATAAAATCTAGCCCAGATTATCTAAACCTATTGGTGATATGTGCTTTAACATTTACTGACCTTAGCTTCACATGAACCGTAATGTTTTTGGCCGCCACGGTACACTTTTGGGAAGCCAATGAACTAACATATTAGAGTTTTTATTACAAAAAACAAAATATCCAATAAACATATATACACACACACATACTATCTAGGTTTATCTAATATAACATAAAATATAGAAAAGAACATTTTTTATTATGAGATCACATAAATGAATGATATATAAACCTATCCCACACAGTATAATAGTCACTTGTTCATATTTAAAATACAGAGGTGTAAAGTGTTATGTTTTTATCCAAATAAAATACAAGATATTTTTTTGTAGATGATATCAGGAAGAGTATTACATGGACTAGTTTGAAGAGTCACTTTCAACAAACGACCCATAATTAATATGTAAAGAAAAAATAACACACTTAATTTTTTTAATTTATCCTTATTTTAAATTTATTTATGCTTCATTTACAATTGTTTTCTTTTTTTGGTTCTTATATAGACCCAGGTCATAATAATGGTCCATGTGAGTATAATTCAGAAGCTCTTAATTTGTTTATCATCATTTAACATTGTGTCCCTGGCTTAACATTTTCTGCTTATTACTAACAAGAACAGCTTTCTGCTTCACACTAATCTGCCTTAGTCGCGTTAGTTTAGCATGACTAGTATCTGCTCTAGAAAAATCACATTAAGAATATTTTCGTTCAAGTATTTGGAGTCCATTGTATTTTGTTTTATTGCTAGTTTGCTTTTATTTAAATGGTTGTTTAAGTTCTTTTGTGTCATAGAAAACAGCACTTTTTATTTGTCACTGAAAAATGAAACTAATTGTTTTTGTCACAGTGTAAAGGAAAAATCTTTAAGCGATTGGTTTAAGAAAAACTACTTGTTTTTTTAAATGAATTGAATATTCGGCACATTCTATTGGACTGCTCAGATTCTTACAGTGTTCTTCCTAGCATGGCTAAAGTTGGTAGCATGAGGAAAGAGAACGGAATATGCTTGGTGAATAGATGGCTTTCTTCGAAGCATGAGGAGCACCGATAGAAATTAAAGTAGTTTAGCATGTATGAAATTGCATTGTCCTCAGCACCATTTATGAATGTATTTTTTACAACTTTGCACAGTTCTTTTATTCAAGTTTTATCAATGGTTATTAGTTTAGTTGTGTTTTTTTTGGTTTTTGATAGTTTTTTCTAAACAATGACTTAGTTTTTTTATTTTGTTATTGGAAAACTTGTATAGTTTTCTTTTTTTTAGGCTAATTGTGCTAGAAAAATATTATTTCTTTGCAAATCATTTCAGTTTGTTTTATGTTTCAGTCGTTCTCCTTGAGCAGAAAGTATTAACGTTTTTTTTATCATTTTCAAGGTCAAGTTTAACTTAAAAGAATACAAAAATAAATAATCATTGTCAAATTACTTAGACTTTTTACAACCTGGCCAAGATATTTTAATTTTTTTTGTGCTGTTATTTCTTGTATCATTGAGATTTGGTCATGTGATAGGTGTTATCTTTGTGGTGGAGGAGCTTGACTTTGAGATCCGTCAGCAACATCATATCACACTACGAGCCACTGATTCTGTATCTGGAGACTACACGGATGTTTTAGTGGATATCCAAGTTGAAGATGTGAATGATAATGCTCCCATGTTTAGTCAACCAACCTACAATGGAACGATCTCAGAGGCTACACCCTTTGGAACATCAATCCTGAAGGTTTATGCAACTGACAGAGACACAGGTCCTAATCAGGATATACAGTATAGCATTCTAGGTAATGCTACTGCTTATTTCCACGTTGATCCTACAGAAGGCATAGTCTTTATCAAACATTCTCTTGACCACGAAACTCAGCCTATGCATCATTTTGTTGTTATGGCAACAGATGGAGGCTCACCATCTCTAAGCTCGACGGCAAATGTTTGGGTTACAGTTTCAGATATGAATGACAATCCTCCTTCATTTAGAAACCCATCTTATAAATGTGTCCTTAGTGAACATGCTGAACGTGGGCAGTTTGTCATCATGGTGGTTGCATCTGATCCTGACGTTACAGACCAACCAAAACTAGCATATTCTATTGTAGGTGGCAATGATCATCAGGCTTTTACAATCAACAACACAACGGGTCAGTATTATTTATCTTTAATACAAACTTTAAGTGGTTTTTAATGAAATTTCTGTTGACTTTCTGTGAGCTTTTAATTGAGGCTTTACTTGCTATTATAACTTCTAAAAATTATTAATAATAATGTGATCCTGATTTTTCAATTTGAAGAAGTGATTCGCCACATTTTCAAAACTTTACATGTCCTGTATTTAAAGCAGACTTGTGATTTTATGGACTTGGGTGCCTTGTCATATTCGTGATTGTAGAAACATTGCCTTTATAGTAATGTAAGTTATCTTAACAAGTTGCAGAAATTGTAAGTTATGGAAATTATCTGTTGGATATGCAAGACTGTTAAGCTTAATAGTTATTCTTTAGTTTATTTAGTGATCTAATATTTAATGATTATTTAGTTTTCTTAACAAGATTGTTAAAAGTTAATTATTTTAAAAGTAATAGTTATGACAAGTTTGTTATGTAACTGTACAAGTCACACATTGTGTATGCAGTTCGATTGTTGTACTAGGCTTTAATAATACTGTTGACATCATCTTACTCGAAGCTTCCAAGTTTTTCTAGTTATGTGTAATGTTGTTACTACTAGAGGACTAGATGGTTATAGATTTTTCTTTTTCGTGTTATAAATCCATGCAGATACAGCAAGTTAAGGAGGATAGAAAAAATGTTAGATAGCCGGTGTGTGAATGATAGGCCTTAATTTCTATAGTGTGTTTCACAGCTGTATTGTAACAACAAAAAGAGAAAAAATTATTTGTCTCTTCAGTTGGGTTCTAAAGTAACTGAACCAGTCTGTGTGGACTTTTGACAAGAAAAGAGAATTATTTAGAGATTTAGATACAACTGTGATGTCCTATATTGTAAAGAATTTTTTGGACATACGTTTGACTTGTTTTGAATATATTATTTTAAAACAAGTGGATTGTGTGCTGTCTGTTTATTGTTTGAATATATCACCAAGAAGTCACAGACACCCACTGTAAAAGAATCCCATCCCCTATTCATATAAAACCTGACTTTATCCTTAAAACCATTTCATGAAAGCATCATGAAATTATTCTAACAAATAAATTAAAATGTTTCACATTTTTGATACACTTGGTCCTTTTTGGTTTCAAATTTTCCCATTCTACAAATTGTTAGCCGAAAAAAAAACCTTGAGTAATACATTTATGTAATAAAAAAGATGAAACTATTTGTACAAAACCTTGAATATTTCATGCATTTCTGAGTGTTGACAATTTCCACAGTAAAAGTAATAAGTGCCAGAATAGTTTTTCCACAAAAGTAGAGGTATTTTTATGTTCATCCTTGTCTTTAATGGTCTTGTTTCCTTATACACGTTAACAGAAATTGTAAATTTTGTGTGTGTTTATCTCTACTTGATTTAAGTGTCAAGTCTTCCTATTTAAGTTTCCAAACTGAAATTATGAAACCTTTTAATTTTTTTTTTCTCCCATCTTCTTTCTTTTTTATGTTCTCTTAGAAATCGTACTAAGTTTATATGGATGTCGTTTTTTTAATCTTTGGACCATATTTAATTTTATATCAACCAGGTATCAACAGAAAATCTTAGTCTTTGTAACAGTCAAACATGATTTATAAGTTGACACTACCAACCCAGTTGTAATAAAATATCACCTACTCTGTGGCCATAAAACTCAAGAATTTGACTTTATGAATCTGTTATAATAGAAAATAACTTACACTGTGTGACCAGGAAACTCAAGAATTTGACTTTATGAATCTGTTATAATAGAAAATAACTTACACTGTGTGACCAGGAAACTCAAGAATGTAACTTTATTGAATCAATTATAATGATAAACGATTCTTGAAATAGCATCTCATATAACCAATAATCTAGGGTTAATGGTATTTTTCCAAGAAATAATCAAACAATGTGCCACTTTCCTTCTATATTATATACATAACTTTACCCTTTTGGACCAAGTCTCGTATATTCAAAGAGAAGGATCTCAATGCCAAATTTGAGGGTTTATACCACTAAAAATCAGGTTTTTTATTTTTGAAGAACATAAGTACAGGATATTGAATTTTGTTGTTGGTTTTTTCAGATTTTTGCTACAAACATTTGCTATTGAGTGACCTAAGAATTAGTTTTTTCATATTATATCTTAATCTATTGTTTGATTTTATGGTAATACTCAGGATATCCAAAGAGGAAATACCTTTTTTTTTCTGATGATAACATTTTCTGTTGATGACTGTATTATTACATCTAGGTGTGGTCTCCCTTTTCAATGCTCATCAGTTCTGGACACAGTCCTCCTATGTTTTGAACATATCAGTAACAGACGGTGTGTACTCCAGCTATGCTAGAGTTACAGTGGACATACGGAGTGCTAACAGACACGCACCCGTGTTTAGCCGAACGAAATATGAAGTTGCCTTAGAAGAGAACCTGCCACCTGGATCCTTGGTAGCAACTGTGATTGCCACAGACAAAGACAGGAGTGTTTATGGAGTTGTCAGATACTATATACAGAGTGAAGAATGTTTGAAATTGTTCAGTATAAATCCCAGTTCAGGTAATGTAACACCAAATCAGTATGTTTTTTCATTAATGGAAATGAAGTTCGGAGAGTAAGCCAGATCTCACAGTGCATTGGAACAAGCTGTCTTGTCATAAGTCACTGGTTTCTGTTTTACTTAAGAATAATGGTATTACTGAGATTGTTGCGAATAGTAAATCTGTAAAGGATATCTGTTTAATATGGACAGTAATATTACGTATTTACTTACAAATAGTGATGGTGTAACGGAGGTGGTTTATTCATGGACAGCTGTATAGAAGAAGTTTCTATGTTGGAAGCAGTGTAACAAAGAAAGTTTATATCTGAAAATAAATGTACCAGAGGTAGTAAGTTTACTTGTGGACAGTGATGTACAAGAGGTACTTAGTTTACTTGTGGACAGTGATGTAACAAGAGGTAGTTAGTTTACTTGTGGCCAGTGATGTAACAAGAGGTAGTTAGTTTACTTGTGGACAGTGATGTACCAGAGGTACTTAGTTTACTTGTGGACAGTGTTGTACCAGAGGTAGTTAGTTTACTTGTGGACAGTGATGTAACAATAGGTAGTTAGTTTACTTGTGGACAGTGATGTAACAAGAGGTAGTTAGTTTACTTGTGGACAGTGATGTAACAAGAGGTACTTAGTTTACTTGTGGACAGTGATGTAACAATAGGTAGTTAGTTTACTTGTGGACAGTGTTGTACCAGAGGTAGTTAGTTTACTTGTGGACAGTGATGTACCAGAGGTAGTTAGTTTACTTGTGGACAGTGATGTAACAAGAGGTAGTTAGTTTACTTGTGGACAGTGATGTACCAGAGGTACTTAGTTTACTTGTGGACAGTGATGTAACAAGAGGTAGTTAGTTTACTTGTGGACAGTGATGTAACCTCCCCTTGCCTCTTCCTGCATGTACCCATGGGTATTATATATGTAGTACTGGTTGAGACACTACTAATTTATTTTTATTTTTATAAAATTTTGATTCATCTGTTTTAGGCCTGATGAAGAACTTGACATAAAGTCCAAAATGTCTCCAAAAGCATCTCATAGGAAACTGTTCAACTGTTTGGAGTACTTAATTCTTTGTTGGTGTTTTGTTGTTTGTATTTTGCTCTCTTTTTATAAGACTCTTCAGGCTTTTATACTTCCTTAAAGTTCATTTTTAAGTTGTATTTGATACTTTTTTAATTTTGGTTTTCCTTTTGTAAACATGGAAAATTGTTTTAACTCTGTTGTTTGAATGTTTTGTTTCACATTAATTTGTTCATTATTTACATTTAAAAAGGGTTAACATTCCATCGTGTTTGCTTTTTTCTTTATCAGGTTGTTATTAGTGAACATTTCTTTTCAAAATCAAATGGTTTAATTAAGTGTAATTTACTGTTATTTCACTCTTTTCTCCGAAATTACTTCGGTATCATTTATTACATACAAATAATTTTGATTTAACAATACTTATTATACTCCATTAAGGTTTAGAGCTTTGTTACATTAGTAGTGATATACTTAACTATATAATGTGTACTTATGAGGATGATCAGTTTACAGTTGTTATCATCAATTATTTACTTCCTTAACTAAAATATTTTAATTGCTCCATTTTAAGATTTTTTTTTCTCTCTTCAGTTTTATCATCCCACAATAGTTTTCTTTTCATTATTATTAACAGGAGAAATCGTCACAAAAATGTCCTTTGACAGAGAAAAGAAAAACCTCTACGAGATTCCTCTAGTGGCCATGGATGTTGGTGGACGAGCAGGGTACAGCACGGTTAGGCTTACCATTACAGATGTGAATGACAATATACCACAGTTTTTAGTTGCAGAGTATCAAGTTAGCATACATTCAAACATGATAGTAGGCACGACCATTTTGAAAGTAAGCAGAAGAGTTTGTTGTTAATATATGTACATAACTTTAAAATGTAAATTTTTAAAGTCAGAATTTCTCTAAAATAGCATGTAAAATTATTTATTTTTGAACCTGAGAGAAAAAAAATTAAGCTTCACGCCCTATTAACTAAAATTAATTAAGTAACAAATTTTGATTGTGAAAATTAAGTCAAAGTGACTAGAAGCTAAATAAACTGAAAATAACACCTTCACTAAAGTAATAATTTGACTCAGTTGATTGGTTACAATAAATAAACTGAAAATAACACCTTCACTAAAGTGATAAGTTGACTCAGTTGATTGGTTACAATAAATAAACTGAAAATAACACCTTCACCAAAGTGATAATTTGACTCAGTTGATTGGTTACAATAAATAAACTGAAAATAACACCCTCACTAAAGTGATAATTTGACTCAGTTGATTTGTTACAATAAATAAACTGAAAATAAGACCTTCGCTAAAGTTGATTGGTTACAAACAAGTTTATAAAACTTTTTTTTTAAAACAATTTTCTCTCAACATCTATATTTAAGTTTTTTAAGTGTAGTTGTAAAATTGTAAGACATATCAAATATTTCTGTTCATGTGAGAATTTCATGGTTGTAATGTATATCAACCATATGTCTTGCACTGTGGGTGGTCTACATCAATCATGTTATTTTTATATTTATAATAGTCGCTACAGTGTAAGATGTATTTCTACTATAAGACATGCTATAGTCCTTGAAATTAAGTCTTCAAGTAGAATTAATCATAAAAAATATTGCTATACCTGTGCCCCCTTCTCATTCTCACCATCCTTCTATATATATTTATTTATTTATGAATGAACTAACAGTTGTATTTCAAAACTCATGTTTGAAGTATTTTTTTTAGTTTTGTTTATGATTCTTAATCAATTTGTTACTGTTTATTTCTTGTAAGGTTTGTTATTTTTCTTTTTGTTTTGTTTTTAATGTTGATGAGATCAATGGCCATTATCTGAAGAAAAACTTAAAATTCCAAAACTCCTGTTTTTGTGTTCAATGTTTCCTAATTAAATAACTTCTCACTGTTTGTAAGGTTTTGTTTTCCAATTATTCTCTGAGTATTTTAAAATGTTCACTTGTTTATCTGTTACACCTTTGATTCCTCTCTGCATCTTGGGTAAGTTATCTCCTTCTTCTTGAAATATTTATTTTTTTCATACGTTTTCGTTTTTTTTTAGGTTTCAAAACTCTGTACGAAAGAAGTATTTAATGATGTTAGTTGAGAAATAAATATGGATTTCATATTAATTTTGTAAGGATAACTATATGTATGTATATATCAATTTCTTATGACCGTCAAAACTTTTAAATACCTTAGTGACCAGATTCTGAAACATAACGAAGTTAATTTAACTTATTTAGAATAAATAAGTATGGCAAAAAAGTATGTTTTACAAACTGTAAATCATTTTTTGAGTTGGAAGGTATGATACTAGAAGACTTTATGTTGGTGTTTATTACATAATATCACCTGTGCTTGTTCTTTGATATACAACTGAAAAAGTGTTTACAAACAATTCAATTTCTTCAACCTTTTCGTTGCATGGATAAAATTGCTACTAACTAACAAAAATGCAGCTTCACGTGAGAGAAGGATGACCTGCACAGTGAACGCAGCAGACAAGCAAACAAACAAACAGAGAGATTTTAAGTTTTATATACGGATTGTTAAATAAGTTGCATGATATGTTTGAGCTTCCCCTTAAATATCATACAGTTCCATTACTTTTCATATTTAGGATCTGATAATGTTGCAGAACTCGCATTCCATTGCTGTTAAGATGCAGTACGTATACAAATGTACGTAACTACATTCTGACAGCTAAAAAATGGTTGTACTCAGTCTTGTTCTGAATTAAAAATCCAGTTTCTAGCTTCTAATGATTTGATAGTGCGTTATAGTTAGTGCCAAGAGTGTGATTTTTATCAAGTGTCTGGCCACATCTGGTAAATCTAAATTAAGAAAAAATGCTTAACACTTGGGTCTTTGCACTTCCAGTTAATTGATACATTTCTCTGCTATATTACCATTATTATTTTAGTTTACGAACATTCTCCTTCTTAGCACTCATAGAAATTCATATCTTTAGGCTTAAGAGTGGTATATTAGTGGTTTGAGTTAATTCATTTTGATTGAGAAATCAATATTGTTTAACTACTTTAAGAAAAAATTTTCATGTTAGGGAGTTCTTTCTTCTAGTGGTTAGTTCTTTGGCCTTGTAACTGAAAGGTTGTAGGTTTGAATATCACTTGAGTCTAGTCATTGTGTTCTTAAGTAAAATTCTTTACCCAAAATTTGCTTCAGTTTATTCAGCTTAATAGTTGCAGTTACCCAGGGATGCTAATTGTGGGAGGGAGAAAATGGGAAAATTTCAACCAAGAAAATTAGAAGAGCCTGACTAATAAGTATCAGATTTATGTTTTTACTCTGTGTGTGTGTGCTGTAAATCTACAGTCAGTCCAATGTCAGGCCACATATTGTTGCATTTTCACTTTAGAAAGGCTCTTCACTCCAGTGTATGATCCGAAGTTAATATAAATGTACATACTTAAATTATTTTTTTTCTACCTTATATGACAAAAATTCTTTAGTTAACATGAACTCACAAGAATTAAATATGTTTTAACTTTCTAGGTACATGCATTGGATTTGGACTTGGCAGAAGCGGCATCTTTGGAGTACAGTATATATGAAAGGAACAATTCAGAAATTCAAAAAATGTTTCACATTGCTCACGATCAAGGAGAAATTTACCTTAAAAGTTCTGCTAAGGGGCTAGGTTGGTGTATTTTGTAGTTTCAATATATAAACATGTTATGGTACTAGGTTGGTGTGTTTTGTAGTTTCAATATATAAACATGTTATGGGACTAGGTTGGTGTATTTTGTAGTTTCAATATATAAACATGTTATGGGACTAGGTTGGTGTATTTTGTAGTTTCAATATATAAACATGTTAAGGTACTAGGTTGGTGTATTTTGTAGTATCAGTATACAGATGTTATGGTATTAGGTTGGTGTATTTTGTAGTATCAGTATATAGATGTTATGGGACTAGGTTGGTGTATTTTGTAGTATCAATATATAAACATGTTATGGTACTAGGTTGGTGTATTTTGTAATATCAGTATATAGATATGTTAAGGTATTAGGTTGGTGTATTTTGTGGTATCATTATAGAGACATATTAAGGTATTAGGTTGCTTATTTTGTGGTATCATTATATAGATATGTTATGGTACTAGGTTGGTGTATTTTGTGGTATCAGTATATAGATATGTTAAGGTACTAGTGTGGTGTATTTTGTAATATCAGTATATAGATATGTTAAGGTACTAGGTTGGTGCATTTTGTGGTATCATTATAGAGACACGTTAAGGTATTAGGTTGCTTATTTTGTAGTATCAGTATATAGATATGTTAAGGTACTAGGTTGGTGCATTTTGTGGTATCATTATAGAGACACGTTAAGGTATTAGGTTGCTTATTTTGTAGTATCAGTATATAGATATGTTAAGGTACTAGGTTGGTGCATTTTGTGGTATCATTATAGAGACACGTTAAGGTATTAGGTTGCTT